CAAAATGGTTTCATAAGATTGGCGAAAAGCATCATGTTAGGAAAGATATTTCAGTTCAGAGTAGGAGCATATTCTGCGAATCCTGTACCCTTTGATTCAACGTGGCGGCTAGGGCGGGACCTTGAGGCTTAATGGCTAGAGAATGACTAGAGAGCACGCTCGCGAGAGAAACGCAGACTGCGTCCCGGGCGCGAGCGGTCGCTTTTCAGCCGCCAATCCCGCTGAATCAAAGGAAATTCTAAAAATAATGGCTCTACACGAAATAGAGTTTTCAGTAAGCGGCCCTTTTCTTAGTTCGCCATCTATTTTTCTTGTGTGTAAATGATGATACATTCGAGACCTAATGAATCTTCAATTTTTTGATTGTTCGCCTTTCTAAGCCAGCTAACATCAGCTTCTAGGTTCCTCTGTTCTCGGAAATTCTTCAGTGCTCAAAAAATTTTTCCGCTGCACACCAGTTATTGGCGACAAATATGGTTACGAAGGGCATTGTGACGGTGAGACGTAACGAATAACGTACTGCGATATAATTTCTGATAACCATTTCAGAAAAAACATTTCTACCTCAGCTTCATACGCGACATCGTTTCCACAAGGCTGAAAAGTTGCTCTGGACTTTTACATTTGATGTGATTGTTTTGAGTGGACTGGTTTAGAGAATCCGTGCGTTGTATCAAAAATTTCCTGCACCAAGGAGGAATTGGATGAGCTGGTCACATCACTGTTAGAGCAAATGAACCCTCGACTAGCGGAAGTTTGTTTTTTGAGGGAGCCATTTCAGTCTAGTTGTTCTGAGTTCAAATCTATCCTGCAGCTCGGTCTTCGTTTGACATCTGTTACCGATGAAGAAAATGGGCGCGAAATGATTGTTTTGGTAACGGAAGATGTGCTTCCTAAGGAACTTCGTACTATAACCGGCTTCAGGTTAGTTGTAGGTCTTATACAAATTGTCGAGGATGATTATGATGTTTCAGCGAGGAAGAGCTAGTACTATTTTCACGTTATGTGCAAAAAATGGTAGAATGTGGTGGCGAATGCGATCAGTCCTGGGCTCTGCAAGAGGGTTCAAAGCTTCCGAATCCGATGTCAATGATGAAAACGCAAGCATTCATTGACAAACTAGCGAAGTCCGGATGGATTGTTGAAGTTTGTGTTTTATCTCCTTATTCTGGGTCCCAAGCTGCTGTAATTTGAATTTAAGAAGGATGAGAACATCCAACTGGCAGCAAGGACTATCGCAGAGTTGGAGCCTGTTCTGGCTTGGAAGTACGGATGCCCGAATTGTGCTCTTTGCCAGAAAGTTGTTGTTCGGTAATTATCAGCACGATCCCCTTGTCAATACTGAATTCAGTATTTTTTTTGCAGAAAATTCGCAGCTGTCACTTGTGAATCGTGTCATGTGCATTTACATCGCCATTGTTGGAACCAGTCAGTTTTTTGTTCAAATTTGCAAAGATTCTAGTTGCATATAGTTTGGATAATATCTCGAATTTTAGTTCATAAAAAACGATTTAGACTTGCTGCGGGCTGCGAAGCTGATGAGATCTCGTGTCCGGGAGCTAGTATCAATGGATGCACCGCAAAGCTTTCGAAAACATCTATTGCGGAGAATACTGTTTGATTATCGTGCATTTCCTGTGTAGGAAGAGGTGCATAGTGTTTTCTGCAATGATATGGGTGATTTCACAGCGCTGGTTTGTGAACTTCTGCGTCTTTTTGTATATGAAGTTTGCGGAGAGTGCTAATTTCAAGAGACACAGACAGTAA